TGGGGGGGCGGGGGGGGGCTCTGCAGCTTACCTGGCTGCTCCTTGCTCTGACTGAGGGCTGCTGGGAGTAGGGGGTGGGGCTTGTTGCACGTGCCTGCCCCCTGGGCTCTTTACTGCCGGAGCTCCTGTGCTCTCCTGCAGGAAATGACCCCTGCCCCTGAGTATTGTCACTTTGCATCCTGACTCCGTTCTTTCTTTGCAAGACACCTCCCAACCTAACACTGAGATATAAGGACTCAGGGATCTCCATTCCGACTTGTATATGACGAAGGGAGTCTCGTTGGTTTCTAAGGTGCTGCTGGACTCGAATCGAGCCGACCGAGGTCTCAGGGCAGGGAATTTTTTAAAAAAATCTGGGGAAACCAACCGAGTGAGCTTCCGCGGATCATGTGCTCCTTCCCTCACTGGGATGTTTTGTCTTCTTTCTCTCTCCCTCTCCCCCCTCCATCCCCCACAGGACCCGAGGGCTGCAACCTGTTTATCTACCATCTGCCCCAGGAGTTTGGGGACGCAGAGCTGATGCAGATGTTCCTGCCATTCGGTAATGTCATCTCCTCGAAAGTGTTTGTGGATCGGGCGACAAACCAAAGTAAATGCTTTGGTGGGTAAAGATAACAAAACAATTAGATTCATCCAGGAAAGGAACTTTCTCTGAACTACTTTGAGTTTATTATTATTATTATTATTATTATTATTATTATTATTATTATTATTATTATTATTATTATTATTATTATTATTATTATTATTATTATTATTATTATTATTATTATTTTTGCAAACGGCTGGTTTTTTATTTTTTTTGGGTAATTTTACTTAGCTGATTTTTCTCTTCCGTTTCCTTTTATTAATCGATCTTTTGTCCCCCCCTCCCCGCTGCTGCCTCCCCCACCTCCCCCTGCTCCCTTCTTACTGTCAAAGTATTTTAAAAACCCGGTATGCCCTGCTACAGAGAGGGTCGCTGATTCCGGGATACTTTGGGACAGAATCCCGAATCCTGGTTGGAAGGGGGAAATTGCCGTGCATTCGCGGGAAGGGGAAGATCAGGGAGCACACGTGGACTGGGGGGCAGGGGGGGAGCAGACGGTCGTCCCGCCAGAGCCCGTGCAGGAGAGGGGCAGAGCCGCCCTGTGGCCAGGTGCGGTTCCTCAGCCGGCGGGTGAGGCACAGGGCTGGTGGATCTGAAGTAGGCCAAAAGGCCGTTCCCTTGGCCAGAGATGGGGGGAGGGGCTGGGGGTCCAGTTTACGAACGCATGCCGGAGGGTGAGCATGTGATCCTAGTGTTTTTAATTCTCTACAGGTTGTCCCCCATCTTCCCTCCTCCCTTCCCCCCCCCTGTGCTGCGGTGAAAATGTTATGGATGCTCTGTTGTTATGTGGGGTGGAGTCTCCTCCAATTTCATTCATCCCACCTCCTGCTTGTCCCTCCGCCATTGCCATTTCCCCCAAGCCCCCGAACAGGAACACCCTCCCCTCGGCCTTTTCTCCCTGGCACTTAATCTTCAGTTTAGCAGCCTTCAGGGCCTTTTCTTCTTCCTTCTCCACTGCCAGCAAAAAGCGCATTCACACAACCTTTTCTTTACCGGCTATCAACCTTTCTGCTGCCTGGAGATAGCTCCCCCCACACACACACGCCGTTCTTTGAGCAGGCTAATCCCGAGAGCGAAGTCGAGAATCACGAGAGGCTGAAAGGCCTTCAGAAACATAGGCCAAACCCATACGAGCAGATTAACCTCAGAACCAAATCACATTCCCCGAACGGTGGTCTGAAATGTGAGCGGAGAGAGCAAGGAAAGAGCATGAACGTGCTGCCGCGGCGAGGCGGTGACGCAGCTCTGTGCCTTGGGCCCGAGCCCTGATTTAATGATGTGGCAGAACATGCGGTATAGACGTCAGGCTGGAAACAGACTTCCTAGGATTAATTTAATTTAAAAAGGCTCGTGGACAGTGGTGAAGAAATCAGATTGCCAACGTGATTTGGGCAATCCAAGATCAGAAAAGCTGAGTTCTTGTTGTATAAAAGTCAACTGTGTCCCTATTAGGGCTGCCAAGTGGGGGCGGGTGGTGGGTATACCCCCGCTTTGGAGGCCCGATTTCCGCCGCCGCAGAATCGGGCTCCGGGGGGAACCCCACCCCGGCGTGTGCGTCACCAGGAAGTGATGTTATGACACCGGGCACGCTGGGGGCAGGGCCACGACCATCCGAGGGGAAACTCTATGGTTTGCGCGCGCACACTCCGGGATCCACCCGGGAGTCCCCCGCTGCAGAGGTAAGTTATACTTGGCAACCCTAGTCACTATGGTCCTTTCCACTTTTGCCTGCCAATCTGGATTTGCTCAGTGTTCAAGTCGAGGCAATCTAAGTCCAGGGCAAAACAACATCCAAATAACCCAGGGCAACAGCAGGCTGAAACCGGGCTGACCAATTAATGGAGGGAATATAATGCAGAATGGTGGGGGGGGGGACTCGGAATAAAAAGTAGGTTGAACTTGATTTTTAGTGCAGAATTTGGGGGGGAACTGGATTAAAAAGACAATTAGATTCAATTTTAGTGCGGAATTGCTTGGAGGACACCGCAGTGGATTAAAAGGAGAGTGCAGAAAAGGGCCTGGGTCAGTAGAGCTTGGAGAATGCTGAGGGTGCTGCAGAGTGTCAGTTCCTGTGTGCCTTCACTGATTCAGGATGCATAGAAAACTACAACTCCCACCATGCACCCTGGCCAGAACTGAAGTCTCCAGTTCGTGAAACATGGAGGCTGACTTCTCCTGCCTACCATAAAAATAAAACAAAGCTTCAGGGTGGGGCCTAGAGTTCTCCTGGAATTACAACTGCTCTCCAGACTACAGAGATCAGTTTCCATGGAGGAAATGGCAGCTTCGGAGGGCAGCCTGCATTGTACCATAGAGTCTAGAAGAAAGAGAAGTCACGGAGGGACGTGACAGCCCCTCTGAGCTCCCTCCCATTCCCAAACTCTGCCCTCCCCAGACACCACCTCCAAATTTTCAGGAATTTCCTAAGCCAGACTTGACAGTTCTGTTCCTGCCTCCAATGAGCCATCTACTCTGCCGATGATCCTCTCTTCACAAGTTTGCTTGGAAGGGAAATGGAAAGAGAATTAGCATTCAAGATTGGTTTCCCAAGATATCTTGGATGTGGCTCTGAAAGACCCAGGTTTCTCCACCCCTACCCCCATCCAAGGGTTTTTATGCATTCTCATTTTCCTCACTTGTAAGTTCCTTTTTCTTCACTGGGGGGGTTCCCTGTTCCAAGTGTGTGTTGCTCCCCCTAGTGGACAATGTTATATTACATTGGTTTGTGTCCGGTATAAAAACCGGGAGCACTCACTGGAGAAGACCCTGATGCTTGGAAAGATTGAAGGTCAAAGAAGACGGGGACGGCAAAGGATGAGATGGTTAGACAGTGTCATCGATGCAACGAACATGAAGTTGAGCCAACTTCAGAGGACGGCAGAAGACCGGAAGGCCTGGAGAGAGCTCGTCCATGGGGTCGCGAAGAGTCGGACTCGACTGTGCGACTGAACAACAACAACAACATGCTGGACATAAACTGATGTAATACCGAATCGACCACTAGAGGGTGCAAAACGCATGCAGATACAGGAACTGACACGCAAGGAAAATGAGAATTCTCCAAGAAAACGCTGGACTCAGTCAGGAGAAACTTACCGATCACAAATGACAATGCCATTGCTCAAACCTGTATATGCACCCTTCAAAACTGAGGTTTCTGTAAGCACAGAAGCAGTGAATCACATATACCCAAACCCTGACAGCTCTTATAGTCTCGACATAGATTTCAGCACTATTTTCAGTCATGGGGTTTCAGTGGCCCCATGGTCTGAAAACTTCTTGGAAGACCAGGATGGATCCATTATTCTTAAAAGGTTTTGACCACCATGAACGCGTAACCAAAAAGAGTGAACAAGAATTTTGGGACAGCTAGGTTTCAGTCCAATAGTACCTTATGTACCAAGAAAGGGGGGGGCGTGCCTGAGCTTTATAAAGTCCAAAGTCCCTTTGTCAAAGAACGTTGACTTTCAAAAGCCCATACTCCCAAAAAGCCTTGTTGGTGGATAAGGTGCTTCTGGACTCCGGTCCGGCTGTTCTACTGGAAACCAACATGGCTACCCTCTGAAAGTATCTTGGGCGGACTCATGTTGGCCATTCCCAACTGGTCTACTACCGCGTGTTTCAGCTTGACCTGTCTGAATTTACCTGCTTTGGTTGCATGCAGATTGTTTGCCTCTGTTTGAAATGGAATAGACAGAGCCCGCCCCGCCCTGGATGGCCCAGGCTATCCCGGTCTCGTCAGATCTCAGAAGCTAAGCAGGGTCGGCCCTGGTTAGTATTTGGATGGGAGACCATCAAGGAGGTCCGGGGTCGCTGCACAGAGGCAGGCAGTGGCAAACCACCTCTGAACGTCTCTTGCCTTGAAGATCCTACGGGGGTTACCATAAGTTGGCTGCGACTTGACAACCCTTCCCACCACCACCGACAGAGCCCAGCCCATAAGGGCAATGAAAGAGGCATCTCAGTCCTCCATAGAGAGGGGAGACCCTGAGAGGTGTATATGTAGGCTTGACCTGAATGTCATAAAGGCATCACTAGTGGCTTACCATGGGGTGCAGACACTTGGTCAATTGATTGTCCTGTATTATCCTTCCAAGGAAGATTATAATGGTGCGATTTTCCTGCTCCCCCATATTTCTGACCCCCAACCAAAGTGGAATAAATTCCTCAGCATGATTGTCTGGACAAGGCAACCCATTTTGGCGAGTGTGTGACACAGAGTTTTGGACTGGATGGCCCATTGGCCTGCTCCAACATGGCTTCTCTTATGTTATTAAGAGCAGAGGTCTATGGGTGGTTGTTAGCCACAAGGTATAGATGGAACACTCTGTCTGGGGCAGTGATGCCCTGTATTCTTGGTGCTTGGGGGGCCACAGTGGGAGGGCTTCTGGAGTTCTGGCCCCGCTGGTGGACCTCCTGATGGCACCTGGGTTTTAGCCACTGTGTGACACAGAGTGTTGGACTGGATGGGCTATTGGCCTAATCCGACATGGCTTCTCTTATGTTCTTATAGCTGAAACGCTCTGTCTGGGGCAGTGATGCCCTGTATTCTTGGTGCTTGGGGGGCCACAGTGGGAGGGCTTCTGGAGTTCTGGCCCCGCTGGTGGACCTCCTGATGGCACCTGGGTTTTAGCCACTGTGTGACACAGAGTGTTGGACTGGATGGACCATTGGCCTGATCCAACATGGCTTCTCTTATGTTCCTCTTATTTATGTGGGCATTACAGTAAACCTGAGAAGCCACCAGAATTCACCTAAAGCTGCTTTTGCTGGGAGGAGAAAAGAGGAAGGGATAGAGGACAAGCTGACTGGTCCCTGGTGGGGAGCAACCTCCCAACCCCATCACCTGGCTCCTTCTGTCATACTAGAGCCCCAAGATTTGGAAATAAGAAGGATGCCAAACTGGCACCTGCGAGGAGGAATCCCCACAAATGCCTCCCTCTCCCTCTTCTTAAGCCACAATCCTCCTATTTGTAGTCTACTCTGCAGTGGCAGCCTGAAGGTCTTCCATG